CTCAGCCTGGAACCTGGAACTTAATTCTTCTCCCCCCATTCCCATTACCGACCAGGAAGGATAAGACGGAGTGACGAAATATAAACCAACTCATCACCAAATCGTCATTATGGTCTGTCTGGCAAGCCCCTCAAACAGGCAACGAAGTGAGTACACACACCATCTACTCGTCCTCGCTGCCTTCTTGTTAGGGTGTGATTCTCTTTCCTTAGTCTCTTTCACCCTCTATAAACGTCATGTCCAGTCCTCGACACCCATTGCACGGTGGCGAATCTTCTGCATCTGTTGACTGCATCGATGCCGGTGCAGGCAGCGAGATAACTCCCTGAGTAGAAAGCCCTTTCTAGCCATCCATATCCAGGATTCGCCCTTTAGCCAACCTTCCCACAAAATCCCATCCAGGGTGAACAGCTTCATGTGCTAGTCGACAAATAGGTAGCATCCTGACTCTTGGATTTTGAAGGATGTGACGATCTCTGTGGTTATGTTAATGGCGATGCCCTCGAAGAACAAGCATCTTTCCGGCTTAAGCCGTATTTGATAACTACCACCCAGAACGAGCAGTTTTGTCTAGAACCAGTCCCAGTTGCCGCCTCAGAATGAGCCGTAGAAGCCGTAGAAGCCGCAATCGAGAAGGTTGCCTACACAGGAGGAGTCGGACAAGGAGGCAGCATCAGCACCAACAACAGAGGGAGAGGGTGCTTGCCGGCCGCAACATCAGGGTCGAGATCACCCGCAAACTGTCCCTCACCGTTGTAAAAGACCTGGCCCATGTAAGCATTTTGCATGCCAGTCATCGCAGTGGGAGCAATGGAAGGAGCATGAGCGGGATGCATACCACCAAAGGTAGCCTCGCTCATATTCCTCTGATGGGCATTTTCTAGGATAAAATCAGGCGGTTGAATATAACTTCCAGGTTCTTTTCTAAGTCTACCGGTCCATTGCTACATGCCCGACAGCGCTACCAGCTTAGTTCGGACCCATCTTATCTGATCATGTGTAAAGTGAGAATTGGTACATTTACTGCGAGACCTGAAACTCGTGGTGGACGTTGCAGTGAGATAGAGTTGAACACCAGATAGACTTGTTTCCTGACAACACCAACATACGGTCAAAGAGCCTTCCCTTCAGGCATGTTCAACGGGAGGTTTGGTGTTGGGTCGAAAGGCACAAGAAGCAGTAGTAGGTTAAGGTGGTCGCTCCATTTGGATTGAATATTCAAACAGGACCAATGTAGGCAGGTAGGTAAGCAGGTAGCTGCATTACCCTAGTCCTTTAAATCCACCGTATCTTCAAACTATCACTAGATCCATCAACACTAAGTCCATCAACACTAAGTCCATCAACACTAAGTCCATCAACACTAAGTCCATCAACACTAAGTCCATCAACACTAAGTCCATCAAGTCCCCCAAGACCACCAATCGGTGCCAACATCCAAGTTGATAGCTGCATTGCGTTGAACTAGAAACGCATCGACCCCTTCCCGCCCCAGCAGTCGTTCTTCTGGTGAACAGTATCTCTGACAATCAGCTGGTTGTACACTCGTCCGACATCTCGTCATCAGGCACGTCAAGAATCTTGCCGAATGGTGTCATCGGTCCAGACCCAGACATGGATACTTGCCAACGTGGGCAATCAACCCGAACAACGCCCACGACGGTGTCCCCGAGTCCGAAACAGACTCTGTTTCGGTCGAAACCTTTCGACTCGCGAACCCCCGCACAGTTACTCCGTTGCAATCGAAGCTCATCCCCGTCTCTGTATATAACTGAACTTGAATGTCCACGCCGTATAACGAGGGAGAGCGCCAGCCCGCCAGCCAGGTAGAAGACAAGCTGCGCGAAAGAGTACCTCAAACTCCCCAAACAGGGAAGGCAGAGAGGTGTCCGTAGTTGGTCTTGACGCCTGGGGGCGTGAGGTCAAACGCCCAGAGTGCTGAATGCTCGTACGACACCAACGGTGAACACGGAAGCATCACACAAGAACGCACTCGAGGAAAGCCGGTGTGGAGGACTGCTTGGAGGGGTCGACAGGCCCTTCGCAGCTCACGCTTGGATACGACCCGTTTAAGTGCCTTCGACGTCGATCTCTTTAGCGAGTTCACCATCCGAGTCCCCAAAGCATTGCTCCTAGTTGGGTCGAGGCTTCCGACAGTGATTCTTCACTGCGCCGCGACGACGTTTCGGCTCATGGTTTGTCGGAGCATTGGTTTGTGCTATCTCGAGGACAGCAGGAACGGACGGTCTACCGGCTGCCATATGTTGTCATGACGCCGTTCTGTAGATCTTGCGAGCTTTCGCTGGTTTGCTGTTTGTTGTGAACGGCTTGTAGGTGGGTAGGTAGATAACAGTGAAAAGGTGGTACATCGGTGTTTGAAGCCGGAATCCAGTTCGTGATGGAACAAGTGTTGAGTGGGGTGTATATAGAGGGGTTAAAGAAAGAAGTAGAAGAAAGGAGGATAGACCCGGGGGGTCGAGACTCTAGGAAAACCTGTCAGATGGTTCCTGGTGTTAGCAGATTTCGAAAGAGGCCTCGGAGGGGGGAAATATAAATCTCTTACTGGTGAACCAAGCCAGACCCTCAGGTGTGGGCAGCTGGATGTAGGCAATCATCAACTCTAGGAACCGAAAAATGCGCTGTGTGATTGACATGCGCCTTTGTGGACAGGTAGGTAGGTATATCCCGAACGGTGTGCTTTCCGTCCCGCAGCTCCTCAGCGATATGCACCAGTGCTCGTCTCCTAAGCTTACACATTCTCTGCGCCAGAGACTCTGAAGTTGGTGTCGGTAGGTAGGTACCTCAGGGCCTCTGATGTTGGGAAGGTGTAAGCGCAGGCGACGGCCCGGGGGCACAGTGGTGAAGAGCTAGATCGCGGCAAGGTGAAGCGTGGATGACGAGCATGTTTTGCTCCCCAAGGTGTTGATTTTGACAGTTCCGAGCTGATGATTATCATATCTGCTAATAAGGCGGTGGACGGCGGAGGTGATTAATGGCGGAGTTTGATGCTGCCTGATACCGAGTTGGACTAGAACACTGTCAGAGCTGGAGGGATAAGGATGGTACTGGGCCGCATTACATACCTCCATGATCATGTTGGGGAAAGACAAGTTTTCTGGGCATTGGTACAAGGCGCCAACGGAGTTGGGACAGCCGAAATTACATCAGTGGTTGCTGCGAAATAAAGTCACACATCAGTCACATGTTGCCCTGTAAGGGATCTTCTGTCAAGAAATCAGACTTACCAGTTAAGATGGGAAAATGAAAACACAAGCACAGACTGCCCATAGTGTGATGATCTGAAGATGACACAAACCGTGTGACCGCTTTTGCTCATGGGTGTGATGTAAATATCCAAGGGTAAAAGCGATCACACGGCTTTTTGAGAGCAAAGAGCGAAGAGAGAAGTCGAAGGTGAGCGTAAAGAGGGAGGAGAAAGTCGAAACTTGAGGAAGAGGAGAAGCTTGTATTTATGCTCGAAGACAAGCTATCAAGGACTCACTCCATCGCTTGGGTGCCAGATGTCCTCATTCGTCCGGATGATGCTGTCTACGCCGTCCGATATCGAACCTCCAAAAGACGGTACATCCCGATTTCAAAGGCAAGATATCGGAAAAGATCCGCACCCATGCACCTGTCCAGCGAATGAAATGGGGTGGACATACTCCTGGTTTTGTGAATTCCTCTGAGGAAAGAGGGGAAGAATCTATGCGAACCAATGAGATTCACTATCGTGCCCAAAGTGAGGCGGCATTGGTGGGAAGAGGCGTGATTGAAATCTTCATCACTTTCACAAGAGGCAGCCCATGCAGAAAGTGGAAACTGTGTCTGCAGATCTACCGCTAGCCGGTTACGTATCTATCTGGTTGTTTGCAGTAACACACCTCCCTCGAAATCACCATCAGAGAACCTGCACAGCGCATGTCGATATCCCCCTTCCAGGAGAGAGAGCAACCGTCCAGCTCAGTACTGCTCATTGAACTGTCAGCCATCCACACCTACTCTCAAAACTTTCTCACGAACCTGTTCGGTCCTCAGTCGTTCTTCAGTTTCGTCACCGACAATTACTACCCAACCACACCAAAACGAAAGCCCAACCCTCCCGGGACCAGTACCGACCCGATCGGCCCCACCTATTTTCATCGTTCGGCCCGATGAAATGTTGACTGCCGGCTCCCGAGTCATTGATCAGCCAATCAACTTACACACGGATGCCCGCGTTTATCGGAAAACCAAGCTTCCTGCGTCTTTGGGTTCGAAACCGATCAAAGCGGAAGAAGGGCTGCAGAAACTCTCATTCTTGCGCGCGGGGTTCAACTTCCCAGTCCCTTCACCGCGTTTTGGCTCTGTTTGGCTGGTACCGAAGTCAATGTGGCAGACGCTGAACCACGTTGAGTTGGTCCGATGATCGGAGAGAGTTTTTGAAGGAGTAGAGTCTCGTGATGGGTCGTCGAAGTCTTCTGTCTGGTTTTTGGCACTGAAGGTATTATCCGGGTGGTGAGGTGTTGACGGGAGAATATCAAGCCGACTTACCTGAAAACAGAGGCGCCCCCGCCCCCACCATTCAAGGCGTTTGGGACGATGAAAAGCATATCAACGGGCGATAGCAAACCCCCTAATGGACTAAGAAGAGAAGCAGAGACATGTAATTTAATTCCAGACTCGTTCTCCCCCGGTCCCTCTGTATTCAAACCTGTCTGATCATGACAACCAACCAAGAACTGTGAGAATCGACAAGTAAACTCTGAAGTCCGGCTTGGCTCCTCAGCAGGCGAGAGAGTAGAGAGTGGAACCAAAAGGGGCCCAGAAGGTAGGTAAACAAGGTCACCACCAGCAATCTTCACGGCAGTTGACAGACCCTGACCCCACACCCCTTTCACACACACACACAAATTTTCCTCTTTGGAATTATTCCTCAGGGCAAACCAGAGTATATCGACCCTAATCTCGAGCCCACCCTCCAACAATCTTCCCTGTTCGGAAACCACACACGAATCAATTCGGGTATGGTGTAGCGGTAACATCGCTGACTCTCATCTGTTCTCTTCTTATGAGGAACTTGAGATCCCTCAGCAGCCCGGGGTTCGACTCCCCGTATCCGAGATTTTTTGACCCTTTTTGCCTCATATGTGTTTTACACATATCTTTTTGAGTTGTGATGGTGGAAAAGTGTGTGTGATGTTCTTGGGGTTGATGGATGTAGGCAGAGCTGGGTTGACAGTCTCCCTCTTTTCTCCTAAGCACACACATCATTGTTTTGTTTCGTCTCTTTTTGCTCTTTAATCATGTTCGAACTACCTACACAACCTGGAAGTTGAAGAGTTGAGAAAGCTTCCGTTGAGGAGAAATTGTTGGCAGATCCACTATAGACAGAACTGAGCTTGGTGAAGAGCTCCCTGTTCTCCCTCGAAGAGAAAAGAAAACTGGTCTGTAAGAACACAGGGGAGATCGTCCCGAAAGACTTTTTTTTTCTTTTTTTTTTTTTTTTTTTTTTTTTTTTTTGCAGCGGTAAGTTGTTATACTCAGGCTCTGCAGCATCACAGAGGGTTGTGCCATGGCGCCCGTAAACTATACCTTCAAGTTTGCGCCCCAGTAAAGCACCTTCCCATGTGGTATGCTTGGGGTTTACAGTCAAGGCTTCCTCCTACCTATATTGCAGAGTGTCATCAATGAAGATACCAAGAGAGGCAGTGCTGAGTTGCTGTTCTGTTGGTCGGAATATATATCTGCTCTCAACATCGGCGTGGGTAAGGTCCATAGGGGTTCGCTATGAATTTCTAACTCCTGCTCCTAAGGAACTTCTCAGATTAGTGTTGTCCGAGTTTGCTGCTCTCCCCTGGGCTTTCTTTGTGGCTTCTTGCTGTTGCTGTGGTCCTTCTCTGGTGAAAGAGGAAGTGGAGTGGATAAACGATCTGTGCCATAAGAGACAGGCTTCATGTTGAGCAGTTCGCGGTTTGTCTTTCTCGGCCCCTCATCATGTAAGCAAGGGCTTTAAACCTCGTCCCGAGGTGGAATAGGGGTTCATAACCAAGTGGCATTGGACTCGGCGGGTATCTCAAAATCTCTCATCCTTCGGGTACCGAGCGAGGCAGTGCCGGGTGTTGGCTCCGATCAGTGCCATGCTCCGCATCGAGACAACTGTTGGGCAAGTTGGATGGGAATGGCATGTTGACTCGTCCGTGATTTCCGCGGTAAACATCTCGGTCTGTTCATGCTTACCGCGACTCAGTATTAACGTTGATGATAAGATACCTGTGACCTGGTATCAAGTCGTCAGGAGTTTTTACACAATGGATCTCCAAGGTTACGCTCGACTTTGAGGCTGTGTCAAGAGTTGCTCATGAGCAGAAAGCTTGTAATAGGAAGGTGGCATGTGAGGCCATGATATCCCATTGTTACCCTATCTCAAGTTCATTCCCGCGTAGACTGGGAAACTTCTAGGTGGTGAGGTTCGGCGACTGAAACATCATGGAGAGCTTCGTCTCAATGAGACTTCCAACCAGCAGACTGCAAGGGAGACTGACACGCATTGCAATGATTCTGTGGTTTGACGCATGACTATGCCTTCCAATGTTGGCAGTTCAAGTTGAAGATGAGATGGCATCATCATCGCTTGAGATACCTATGTAATGGTCTGGCAATGTAGGCTGCAGTTAGAGCAAACTCGTGAAACATGAGCTGTCATCTAACCCCAGTGTCTCTAACCGACGGCTGTTCCTGAGACATTGAAACAGCCTGTCAAAACGCCTAAGACAATATCTCACCCAGAGTAAGCGAGCCGCAGGCGCTTCATCCCTACCAAGCCAGGTCGAAACTCTAGGCCATATTACCACCGAGTTCATGGGTGATATGCCTCACTCATTCCTGAATTTTCCCACAGAATGTCAGCATGTTGAGGTTGTTTCTGTCGTTCCAGTGACCGGGTAGTTGCTCTTAAATCACACAATATCCCATCGAGGAAGGTGAGATGGGTTTCGATGTCCTTGAAGCCTGATGATAACTCGCAAGGCCCACAAACCCCTAGACATGTTCAGAGGGTAAGGTAAGCGGCATTCCACCCAAAGAGCCGGGCAAGATGTGATATCTGCATGATTGGCATGTCGACGTGCAGTATCCTGTCAATATTGTAGCACTGTGGTGGCTGTGCTACAGCTTGGCAATGCCGCGATGTTGCTGTCTCGAGTTCATTCGTCGAATAACTCCCAAGATCTCCATAAACAAGAAGAAAACAAGTCAGTTGATGAGAGAATGCTTGGGACGAAATAGGTAATCTATCAAAGCAATCATGCCCTGGTACCCCGAAAGGACCGGCCAGCATTTGTAAAGTGAAGTCCGTTGAGATATCCTTGAGGGCATTCCGTCTCGGTGATAACTTCGAAGCCCCATTTGCAAGACACACAGCCGATGTTATCGACGGTGTAACGATAATCACTAGGTCTGCCTGACGGTTGGCCTGACGTGCTTGAGTCTAGAAAGCCAAGACGGTGTTTCGTCCCGCCCACCGTACATCACCGGATCATTCGCGATTCTAACCCCTAACATTTCACACTAAGTGGAGTTTATGCATAGAGAAGTTCTGGAAGTATTCCCAACTTGCCACTACAGTGCAACCACGTGCCATGTCATTTGTTTAATCGGTTACATTATCACAGGTAAATGCGATCCTCTCGGACCAACACGAGTTATTCCCGGGTAAACTGGCTCTTCTTTATTGAATTCTATCAGTTATGATCGCCAGCCACCGAGATCTTGCCCCTCGGTGGATTGCAGAATGCCTCTTAACGTGGCTTGGGTTCGGCGGAATGTCATGTGAGGACAGTTGGTCACCAGTAAGATGTTGCCTGGCAGTCTTTTCGATTGAGGTGGAATTCGAGATGGTCGTTCAAAGGACGTGTCGTCATTGAACAACAAACTGTCCCGAAGAAGCAAACGAACCGATACCTTGAGAGAATTACAACACACACCGAGAAACTTTCTACGTTGTGTAACTGTTGCAGTAATTAACTGTTACAGGTGAACCAGCGAAAATTCACCGGTTGACAGACATCATATTGATCCTGAGAGGGGGAGGGGGGTTATAGAGGAAAGAAACGGAATTCGGCACAGTCGTAAAAGCGGGTGCACTTACACTGCCACTGTAAAGAAAGCAAAACCCCCAATCCCCAGGCGCAATCCAACGTCGCGATATTGGTTTCCCTGTGTCATCTCGTTCGCATCGAGCAATGGGTGTGTTGGATTGTACCGTCACACGAACCCTTGGCCATCGTTGTTCAACAAAGCCCACAGTGACATCGGATCACTAGACACGAGTTCGTCCGTCCCGATCGGACGAGCGAGTTATCTGACCGAACACCATACTATCCCCTTCCATTGAAGAAGCTGTGAATACTATGAGGGAAAATAGGTGTGCAGATGTATCTGGCGAGGCTGTCATCTCACTAAGAACCCGTCGTATTTTCGTATCGCAGAAAGAATGGTGGACTGCTGCTGGGCGTCGACACTTTTGGGGGCCATGTGAAGAAAACTGCTATTCCCGGTCTTGGCGATCCACTCTTCCCGTGCCTAACCCCAATGACATCCCTGTCTGGGCTGAAGCTCTGAGCTCGGCGCGGTTTGCCCCGCCAAGCAAGCATGCGCCTGACCTTCCTCTTGGACGGGAAGGAAACACATCCCATTTTCCCAAGCTCGTCTGAAACATAAATACAAATGTTTCCCCTGCTCCCATCCCTACTGTTCCTAGAATCTTCCTAAATATACATGGTGATAATCAAGTTCATCTCGGCCTGAAACAGTATCTCATCCGAGAGATTGTAGTAAAGCTTCATTGCTCCTAGTGACAGACCAGGGTTTCCCAACATTGTTGTTCGCGACAACATCCAATTACTCAAACCACGAAAATGTCCAGCGACATCAGCACCAAGGGCAAGGGCCCCGACTCCAGCGCCGGCACCGCTGTCAATGGCGGCTTTCGCCCCCAGGCCAACATGACCACCGTCATTCCTCCCACGGCTGATGATCTTCAACGAAGCTATGCTACCATCGTAGACGCGGATGCTAACCCCAAGGGGTGGTACGGAAGCATGAGTATGTTCTTCAAAATACTCCCCTTACTCTCTCTTCTTCAATTTGGACCACCTCTAACATCGATTCTCCACCAGTCAACGGCATCGGCACAATCATGGGCACCCTCGGCGCAGTCCCCTGCTGCATCTGCTGCCCCAACCCCTACAAGTCAGTCGGCCAGGGCAACGTCGGCCTCGTCACCAAGTTTGGCAAGTTCTACAAGGCAGTCGATCCCGGTCTGGTCAAGGTCAACCCCCTCAGCGAGACCCTGATTCAAGTCGATGTCAAGATCCAGATCGTCGAAGTACCCCGCCAGGTCTGCATGACCAAGGACAATGTCACCGTCAACCTGACCTCCGTCATCTACTACCACATCGTCGCCCCCCACAAGGCCGCCTTCGGTATCTCCAACGTCAAGCAAGCCCTCATCGAGCGCACCCAAACCACCCTCCGCCACGTCGTCGGCGCCCGCGTTCTGCAAGAAGTCATCGAGCGCCGCGAGGAACTCGCCCAGTCCATCGGCGAGATCATCGAGGACGTCGCCGCCGGGTGGGGTGTTCAGGTCGAGAGCATGCTCATTAAGGACATCATCTTCAGCGACGAGCTCCAAGACTCTCTGTCCATGGCCGCCCAGAGCAAGCGTATCGGCGAGTCCAAGATCATCGCCGCCAAGGCCGAGGTCGAGTCCGCCAAACTGATGCGCCAGGCCGCCGATATCCTCTCGTCTGCGCCCGCCATGCAGATCCGCTATCTGGAAGCCATGCAAGCCATGGCCAAGTCGGCCAACTCCAAAGTCATCTTCCTTCCCGCCGCGAACCAGACGATGCCCAGCACCCAGCAGTTCGAGTCGGCCCTCGCCGGCGGCAGCGGCAACAGGAACTACAACACTTTTGACAACGACGGAAACAGCCCGTCCGCTGTTCCCCAGAGCGATTTCGGCGGGGACTCGGGGTTCCAGCAGGCCATTAACGCTCGCATTATCGAGAACATCTAAAGCTTCCTTACCTAACCTTTCCTTCTTTTTGCGCTTCTTCTTAAAT